GTGTGTGTGTGTGTGTGTGTGTGTGTGTGTGAGAGAGAGAGAGAGAGAGAGAGAGAGAGAACGGAATATGACCGGCATAGTCAGGCTTTTCTCCTATTATTAACTGCAGTTTATTGTGAACGACATCTGGTAAGGCAACTGGAGATTTCACTTCCACTTACTAATTTTATCAGGGCACCAGTGATTGCTCAATGAACTGTACATAGAAAATAGCTTTGTTCAGCTAGACATTCACTGCCTTCCAGATGACGGGTGTATACATGACACATCTGTCTTACTTGCCTTCAAGATGCCTCTCTAGTGAAGCCGTCCTGGACTGTGCAGGTACAGTGGGTTGAATTTGTATGTGACTTTGTCCCTTTATGCACAGTTTGGAATAACATTTTATATGGTAACATAGTTGCGGGATGAAGTCTATGTTGTGAAGTCAGACTTACCTAAATTGAAGGGGCTTGGCTTTTGTTTGTTCTCGAACAAACTTTCACTTGAAGAAAGTTTTTAAAAAAATCAAGGAAATGGAGAACAGAATGATTTGCCATGTCAAAAGATTGTTATTGGAAAAGGCAGCTAGTGCTCTGATAAACCTGATAAGAAAAACATGCAAATGAAATAACGAATGAGAAACAGGAAATAACTGCAAGCATAATAGTTGGTTTTTAAAAAAATGGATATTATGAACTGCTTATAGTTAATACATCAGAAAACTACAATGAAATACAGCAATTCTTAGGGAAATATAAACTTTGAAGACTGGGACAAGAACTAGAGAGCCCGAAGTGACTAAATGTTTAAGAAATGGGAGTGCAGGTATTCCTCATTGTTTCACTTTGCAGATACACTCATTTTTATAAGTTGCAGGTTGGTGGCAACCCTGCTGTGAGCACATCAGGCAGTGCTATTTTTCCAGCGGTGGGCGCCCATTTCATGTCTGTGCCTCGTTTTTGTCAGTCTCACAGCCCACCGTCATCAAGTTGGTCCTGAGAACCCCTTTGTAGGGTCACTGTGACTCAGAACCCACTTGCTGGCCATGGGGCAGGTGTTTGGGTAGCTACGTGGGAACAGCATTATGAAACACTTGGAAGTCTTGTGCGAGGTGAGAACAAGGTTGGAACAGACAGTCTCATCTTTTTCCTGAGGGAGAGGCTGGTGGGTTTAAACCTCTTGTTCTTAGCAAGCAACCCCTAACCCACAGTACCTCCTAATAGACCCGCCCCCCGCCCCCCCCATATACACTGCCATCCTGTTGATTTTGACTCATAGCAACCCTATAGGACAGAATAGAACTGCCGCTGTGAGTTTCTGAGACTGCAGCTCTTTGAGTAGAAAGCCTTGTCTATCTCCCGAGGAGCAGCTGGTGGTTTTGAATTGCTGCCCTTGTAGCAGACAAACGTGGTCAAACTACACTACCAACACTCCTTAATAGACACTGTAGAGTGTAAGAATAACTTTTGTATGCACTGGGAAACAGAACAATCATGTGACTCACTTTATTGTGATACTTGCTTTTTTGTGGTGGTCTGGAACTAAACCCATAATATCTTTTTTATATCTATGTATAGTGAGATGGAGGGAGAGAGAGAGAGATTGTTGTTAGGGGCTATGGAGCTGGTTCCAACTCTGACAACAGAATGAAACCCTGCCCAGCCCCGTGCCCTCCTCACCATGGTAGGTTTCCGTCCACTTGCAACCACTGTGTCCATCCATCTCTTTGCTGGTCATCCTCTTTTTTGCAGCCCCGCTACTTTTTCAGGGACTGGTGTCTCCCGATGTCTCCAGAGTCCAGGAGACAAAGTCTCCATCCTTGCTATTAAGGAGCATTCTGGCTGCACTTCTTCCAAGCCGGATTTGTTAGCATTATTTTAAAAGGGGAAATGGTTTTAGCATTCTTAGACACCCCCCCCCCCAAATAACCAAGACCACATAAATCCTAAAATAACACTAGCAGTGTTCCCAGAGAGTTCAGAGAGATGGCGGTTGGAAGCTGGACTGCCCCAGCGAACGTGGTTTCCAGGACTGACTGCAAAACACATGCCCAGCGCTCGTTTTTCACCCTTTTTCCTCCCGGACTCTTTGTGTTCCAGAAAACCAGTGCCAACAGAGCTCTCTTGTAAACGTGGCATAAAAGATTTGCAAAGCAGGGATGCCTGTAGGCATGGCATCCCTCAGAGATGTTGCAGGCTCGGTTCCAGGCCACCAGCAGTGAAGCAATAGAGCAAGTCAGCTTGCCCACTTGGGTTTCCCAGGAAAGAGGAAAGTTCAGTTTACACTGCCTCTTAGGGGCGCAGTGGCCTGAGGAGACGGCGAAACACTGTGAGAATGACCCTGTTGCTAGACAGAGGGCGCTGATTCACTGGCTTGAAGCAGGGCTGCCTTGGGCCTCCCTTTGTAAATAACCATAGGGTTGCGAGGCCTCAGGAAGCAATGGGAAGTGAAATGGGGGTGCCTGCAGTGAAAGCCCACTCCTAGTTTCACCAAACTTAAGCAACACATCATTTAGTGTGTTTTACCTGCTGTCTTGGGGAAAACATGCCAAGCTATTTTTATGACATGAAATATTGATTAAAAAACTAGAAAAGCCCCATTTAGGGAGAGCAAGTGATAGGTCTGTTTCGAGGATCAACAGAGATACGAAAGCGTTGCACAGACTCTTAGCTCCTCCCCTGCAGTGTGTTAAAAGAATCAAGATTCATAGTGCGTAAACATAGTTCAACACCCATTAATCTGTTAATGTAATTTATCTCATTAACAGATGAAAGGAGTGGTGTCAGCATTATTTTAATTGAGGTCATAGAATCATTTGGTGATTGCACCTCTTTGGGATAAAAGCTTCTCACAAACCAAGATTACAAGATAACTCCCCAACCAGACTTGCTGCCATTGAGTCAGTTCTGACTCGCAGTGTGATGCTATAGGTCAGGGTAGAACTGCCCTGTAAGTTTCTGAGGCTGTAAATCATTATAGGAGCAGAAGCCTCATCTCTATCTTAGAGAGCTGCCAGTGGGTTTGAACTATTAACCTTGTGATTAGCAGCCCAACTTGTAACCTACAATCCAGAGTTCCATTTCCCCACCACCACCATGACTTAAAATGTTAAGAAACGTCCCTACTCCTGGCAGCACAGTAGAGATGTTCAAGCTCTTGGTTGCTAACCAAAAAGGCAGTGATTTGAACCCCCAGCCTACTATGAGGGATAGAGGTGTGACAGTCTGCTTCAGTGAAAGAGTACAGTCTTGGAAACACTGTGGGACAGTTCTATTCTCTCAAGGCAGGGGGTGTAGCTTTTGATTTATGAGAAAAGTGCTAACTAACACTCCAAAAACCAAACTCACAGCGAACGAGTCAGTGCTGACTCTTGGAGACTCTCTGTGGGTTTCCAATATTGTAACTGTTTACGGCAGTAAAAAAGCTCTCGTCTTTCACCGAAGAACTGCTTAGGTTTCGAATTGCTTAGGGTTTCGAACTGCCGGTCATGAGGATCGCAGCCCAGCTCGTCGCAGGAACAGTATGACGCACAAGGGTAAAGCTAAAACTCATTCGTTACAGGTAAGAAGATCATCTACGTAGAAAAAACATTAGAATCTGGAGAGAAACAGAACTAAGATGAGCAGAGTCGCTGAATTTTCGAGTAGCCTCCAAACTCTGTAGCATTTACTGTTCTAGCAATACCTGACTAGTCATGATCCTCAGAAGTAAATGTTGTATGCAATAAGCAATAAAGCTGTAACATAACCTGGGAATGACCCAGAAATGCACAGAGCTTTAAGGTATAAGCACCAAAGCTTTAAAGAGGGAAGGAGAAGGGGATGCAGAAGCATCCCCTAGTGGGAAACCTCATGCTCTTGGACAAGCTTACTTCTCGTAAGGATCCCTTTCGCTAATGTCTAATTCAGTAGGATCACCTCAGTCTAACAGTGATGGGGTGGAATCAAATTTGTAGGAGGCTTGCCTTAGTAGTAGAAGTTAAGGTAATCGTTTAAGGCTCGTAATAACAACTGTGGTTTAAGTTCAAGAATAGGAGATAGACCAAAAGAGCTAATTCGGGAGCAGAGGCTGAGCTGTGTGGGTTTGGAAGCTTGGTTTAAGGTGGTGCCCTAAGTCACTAAGGGAAGAGTCACGTGGTTTAGTGGCTTCCTCGATGGAGAGAAAATAAACAGGATAGGG